CACATTGTAGCAAAGTGTCATTTCTTCAGTGTTGTCACATGGAAAGAGAGAATCAAATATTGACACGAATGTGAGGGGGAGGGGCTCACTTCTGGGAGATACTGTGTGTGTGTGTGTGTGTGTGTGTGTGTGTATATATATATATATATATATATATAATTATACATTCCGGAGGAGGGGGGACTCACTTCTATGAGATACTGTATGCACTTTGAGTGGCTGTAGAGCAGAGAATGCTGCAGATAAATAGGTACAACTTCTGTTTCATCTCTGCGTATGTATAATATGCATAATCCCCGGGGTCCAGTGCACATAACGCGGGGTCTGTCCCAAGGCCACAGTAGGAAATAAGTGGAAGGAATATTCCCTTTTGGACGGTTGTCACAACAGCCACCTCATTGGCTGATTTTACTTCTCTTCTTTATTGGTGACAACGGTAACCCTCATGATTTCTCTTCCTTGGTGACACCGGTAACCCTCATGATTTCTCTTCTTTATTGGTGACACCGGTAACCCTCATGATTTCTCTTCCTTGGTGACACCGGTAACCCTCATGATTTCTCTTCCTTGTTGGTGACACCGGTAACCCTCATGATTTCTCTTCCTTGTTGGTGACACCGGTAACCCTCATGATTTCTCTTCCTTGTTGGTGACACCGGTAACCCTCATGATTTCTCTTCCTTGTTGGTGACACCGGTAACCCTCATGATTTCTCTTCCTTGTTGGTGACACCGGTAACCCTCATGATTTCTCTTCCTTGGTGACACCGGTAACCCTCATGATTTCTCTTCCTTGTTGGTGCCGGGGACCGTAGTCACCAGGACACAGAGAGAGGATCTCTTCCCGGCAGGGACGTGGACGGCCTAATGAACGGGTTCTAATCCTTCCTAACACCACCGAACACTAGACAACGTTTTGGCCGGAGACGTCCTTTAATGATTTTTTACAGGAACACCGCGAACTCCAAGCCGTTCCTTGCCAGGTGAAGATTACAAATCCGTCCAGGAAATGACCGCGTGTTGCTGGGCCTGGCACCGCGTCGGGGCCCCTGTTTGCGCACCTGAAGCCCACACGCAGCCCCGAGCCCTCGGGAACTGGAGGCGCGATTCGTCATTCCGGGACGGGGATGGACTCTTTCCTCCTGAGAGATCCTCACCCCCCCCCCCCCCTCCTCCGGCGTCACAAAAGAGTTAACGGAGAGCAGCCAACCCGGCCGCTGCACTTCCCCTCCACAGGAAGCCCTCGGAGGTGCGATGAAACTTATTAAATGGAAAAAATGGGGCTTGGCACGGCCCGGGCGGCTCGGAGCCCGCATGCCAATGTGCTGCAGTATTGTACTTCGGAGCCGGGAATATTTTTTTCCATTTCCTAGAACACTAAAAGCCGTGTTATTCTGGCCGAGCCGAATGCTTTGCCATTAGTTGACACGGGAACGGCTGGCAGCGGCTTCGCTGGACCTCCTCGCGGCACCCAACCGCGCTCAATCCACCATTCGGGGGGAAAGCAATTCTGATTGGATATCATCTTCTCCTGTCTCTGGAGTCAATGATTGCAGAGGAGCCCTTTTTTATAAAATAACAAATCTGTTCTACTTGCCTGCTCTGTGTTATGGTATTACACAGAGCAGCCCCAAATAAGTCATTTTCACTGATGGCCACTGATGAGGCGGCAAGGATGGCCACTGATGAGGCAGCACTGATGAGGCGGCAAGGATGGCCACTGATGAGGCGGCAAGAATGGCCACTGATGAGGCGGCAAGGATGGCCACTGATGAGGCAGCACTGATGAGGCGGCAAGGATGGCCACTGATGAGGCGGCAAGGATGGCCAGTGATGAGGTGGCGCTGATGTGCGCTCATGAGGAGGCGACGGCGGTGTTTATGTGCACTGAGGCTGCGCTGATGAGGCGGCAAGGATGGCCACTGATGAGGCGGCAAGGATGGCCACTGATGAGGCGGCAAGGATGGCCACTGATGAGGCGACAAGGATGGCCACTGATGAGGCGGCAAGGATGGCCACTGATGAGGCGGCAAGGATGGCCACTGATGAGGCGGCAAGGATGGCCACTGATGAGGCGGCAAGGATGGCCACTGATGAGGCGGCAAGGATGGCCACTGATGAGGCGGCAAGGATGGCCACTGATGAGGCTGCACTGATGAGGCGGCAAGGATGGCCACTGATGAGGCGGCAAGGATGGCCACTGATGAGGCGGCAAGGATGGCCACTGATGAGGCGGCAAGGATGGCCACTGATGAGGCGGCAAGGACGGCCACTGATGAGGCGGCAAGGACGGCCACTGATGAGGCGGCAAGGATGGCCACTGATGAGGCGGCAAGGACGGCCACTGATGAGGCGGCAAGGACGGCCACTGATGAGGCGGCAAGGACGGCCACTGATGAGGCGGCAAGGACGGCCACTGATGAGGCGGCAAGGACGGCCACTGATGAGGCGGCAAGGATGGCCACTGATGAGGCTGCACTGATAATCGGTGTAAATGTCCCTGTCAAAAGAAAGCCAGTTATCAGCTTTCCTTTCCTCAGCACTATGACATCATGTCTTTCCAGGTGGCTTGATGACATCACAAAGCTCCGGTCGACGTGTTTTGTCACTTCCTGTGACTTCTTCCCTGAAGAAGAACCTGGATACCTGGAGTGGCCAATAAGACCCCTTAAAGGTGAACGTGCGTGGTGACCTTTCTTTGGCCTAAGTGTTGAGGTGATTGCAGAGAGTGATTGGTGGTATTCACCGACATGTGGCCACATTGGTGGACGTGGTGTATTCCCTGTGGTGTGGTCACATTGGTGGACGTGATGTATTCCCCCTTCGTGTGGTCACATTGGTGGACGTGTGTATTCCCCGTCGTGTGGTCACATTGGTGGACGTGATGTATTCCCCTTCGTGTGGTCACATTGGTGGACGTGGTGTATTCTCCGTCGTGTGGTCACATTGGTGGACGTGATGTATTCCCCTTCGTGTGGTCGCATTGGTGGACGTGATGTATTCCCCTTCGTGTGGTCGCATTGGTGGACGTGATGTATTCCCCTTCGTGTGGTCACATTGGTGGACGTGATGTATTCTCCGTCGTGTGGTCACATTGGTGGACGTGATGTATTCCCCTTCGTGTGGTCACATTGGTGGACGTGATGTATTCCCCCTCGTGTGGTCACATTGGTGGACGTGATGTATTCCCCGTCCTGTGGTCACATTGGTGGACGTGGTGTATTCCCCGTCGTGTGGTCACATTGGTGGACGTGGTGTATTCCCCGTCGTGTGGTCACATTGGTGGACGTGGTGTATTCCCCGTCGTGTGGTCACATTGGTGGACGTGATGTATTCCCCGTCGTGTGGCCACATTGGTGGACGCGATGTATTCCCCGTCCTGTGGACATTGGTGGACGCGATGTATTCCCCTTCGTGTGGCCACATTGGTGGACGTGATGTATTCCCCTTCGTGTGGCCACATTGGTGGACGTGATGTATTCCCCTTCGTGTGGCCACATTGGTGGACGTGATGTATTCCCCTTCGTGTGGCCACATTGGTGGACGTGATGTATTCCCCTTCGTGTGGCCACATTGGTGGACGTGATGTATTCCCCTTCGTGTGGCCACATTGGTGGACGTGATGTATTCCCCTTCGTGTGGCCACATTGGTGGACGTGATGTATTCCCCTTCGTGTGGCCACATTGGTGGACGTGATGTATTCCCCGTCCTGTGTGGTCACATTGGTGGACGTGATGTATTCCCCTTCGTGTGGTCACATTGGTGGACGTGATGTATTCCCCTTCGTGTGGCCACATTGGTGGACGTGATGTATTCCCCTTCGTGTGGCCACATTGGTGGACGTGATGTATTCCCCTTCGTGTGGCCACATTGGTGGACGTGATGTATTCCCCTTCGTGTGGCCACATTGGTGGACATGAAATGTTTACATGGATGGTCCTAGAACTGTTTTGAAGCCATCAATGGTGTCATGCAGTTATCACAGCGGTGGTGGAACCCTCTCAGCACTCTTATGGACTTTTTAACTTTCTATTTGTTGTTTTTTTCTATTTGAATATTACACACACTCTATGTATATTTCATGGCAGAGCACGGATCGATCAAGAGACCTAAAATATCGGGATATTTCTGGTATCCATCACATTTCTTCGAGGCATCGATGATTTATATTCTGTGATTGTCGCTCGTTGTAGAATGTCGGGATGGAAGGGATGGTGACAGAAGAGGGAAGACAGACGGTTCCGTTATATTTGGAAATCATACAGATTCAGTTCAAAAAGATTTAAAAAAAAAAAAAAAAAATTTCCCTGCATTCCATCTTTTTATGGCAGAATAAAATGTTTGTTCCCCCATCCCCCCCACCCGGGGTTGGCGGGGGACGGTGAGGTTTGTGCCTCCAGCGTGTTGTTTGCTCAGCCTGTCCTGATGAGGGATGTCCCCGGTGTTCTGTGTCCAGGCGGAGTCCTTCCAAGAGCAAACATTCCCAGTAATGAGGAAGCTGATAAAGCCTCATCCGCCCCCAGACTTTCCTGGCCGGGCCGCAGCAGGCCGCTCCTGCGAGGTGCTAATCTGGGCCTGGATCTCCCCGCATTCTCCGGTCTTAGTTCGGCATTGTTTCAGCTCGCTGTGATACCAGGAGGGCCTATGAAGTATTCGAGGAGAACCTACGCTGGGAGCCAACTGCCCTTTGTGATGGGTTCTGGAACGTACGAGCCGCCTGGTGTCCGGGCCGTTCTGCGGGTTCAGTCGTTGGAGGTGCTGATGGGGAACAGCGGATTTCCATCTGTGATCAGCCGATAACCTCCTCCTTGGGGGGGTGGGGAAGAGGCAGCCCTGCGCAGCTGCTGAGGGTGACAACGCTGCAGTGAATTCACTGCAAGTCTTACAGCGTTGTCACAGTTCTTGAGGAAGCCCAGTAAGCTGGCATTGATGAGCAGATATTTTATGTATGATGGTTTGTATTAAAGGACAAACGTTTACCCAATTATGACAGACATTTAGTGCATCCGGCTCCTCCCCTTCAGTCTTGCACAGGTGTGCCGGCTCCTCCCCTTCAGTCTTGCACGGGTGTGCCGGCTCCTCCCCTTCAGTCTTGCACGGGTGTGCCGGCTCCTCCCCTTCAGTCTTGCACGGGTGTGCCGGCTCCTCCCCTTCAGTCTTGCGCAGGTGTGCCGGCTCCTCCCCTTCAGTCTTGCGCGGGTGTGCCGGCTCCTCCCCTTCAGTCTTGCGTGCGTGGGTCTTGTGCCGGCTCCTCCCCTTCAGTCTTGCGCGGGCTCCTCCCCTCTAGTCTTGCGCGGGCTCCTCCCCTCTAGTCTTGCGCGGGCTCCTCCCCTCTAGTCTTGCGCGGGGGTGCCGGGCTCCTCCCCTCTAGTCTTGCGCGGGGGTGCCGGCTCCTCCCCTCTAGTCTTGCGCGGGGGTGCCGGCTCCTCCCCTCTAGTCTTGCGCGGGGGTGCCGGCTCCTCCCCTCCAGTCTTGCGCGGGGGTGCCGGCTCCTCCCCTCCAGTCTTGCGCGGGGGTGCCGGCTCCTCCCCTCCAGTCTTGCACGGGGGTGCCGGCTCCTCCCCTCCAGTCTTGCGCGCGGGCGTGCTGGCTCCTCCCCTCCAGTCTTGCGCGGGTGTGCCGGCTCCTCCCCTTCACTCTTTGGGGAAAAAAAATCTTACCATAATGCAATCTGCCTGTTCTATTCTGTGGGCTCTGCTGTTGGTCAGCATGGGGGTGGGGAGGGGGAGGGCGGGGTCATTGTAGACGCTCATTCCAGGCCATCTCCTCCTGGGCTGCAGATCAGTCTCCCTCCTCCTGCTGCAGGAGGTGAAGGTGTTAATTGGGCCGCCCTTTGTGATTTCAGCACCATATCCTGCTTTCCGGTTGGCCGGAGTTTTCCTTGGAGGGGAAGGTGTTGGCGTGTTTTCTGTGAGTCACATTTTCACGGCTGAAAGTCCCCATCTGATCGTTCCCATGTTCCCTCGCTCGCCGATCCACATTCCACGCCGGGATGTTGTCTTCCTCTAGAGCAGCGGTTCTCAACCTGGGGGTCACGACCCCTTTGGGGGTCACCTAAGACCATCAGGAAACACATATTTCCGATGTGTAAAGAGCAGCTACTGTGCTGAAAGCAGCTACTGTGCTGAAAGCAGCCATATTGGAGGTAAAACGACACTCATGACTTATAATTACTGGGGAAATAATTGTATGGTTGGGGGGTCACCACAACATGAGGAACCGTATGAAAGGGTCGCGGCATTGGAAGGTTGAGAACCGCTGACCTAGAGGCTGTCCGAAAATATGAAGGTGATGAAATCGCCACCAGAGGTCAGTGTGTGCCGCCTGGGGGAGGAGAAGCCGCCTGGGGGAGGAGCAGCCGCCTGGGGGAGGAGCAGCCGCTGGGGACACAGAGGAGGAGGAAGCGTACGCTGCACATGTAATGAGCAATGTCATGGAAGGTGATGGGTGACCTTCACGTGTGGCCTGTGACTTATTACATGTGATGGGTGACCTTCACGTGTGGCCTGTGACCTATTACATGTGATGTGTGGCCTGTGACCTATTACATGTGATGTGTGGCCTGTGACCTATTACGTGTGATGGGTGACCTTCACGTGTGGCCTGTGACCTATTACATGTGATGTGTGGCCTTTGACCTATTACGTGTGATGGGTGACCTTCACGTGTGATGGGTGACCTTCATGTGTGACCTTTACGTGTGATGGGTGACCTTCACATGTGGCCTGTGACCTTCTATGTGTGATGTGGCCTGTCAGTCATGTGTATGTGAGATGAACCACTCTATCGCACTCATCGATCTCTGGACTGAGATATCAGCTCAGAGATGATGGGGGAGGGGCGACTGAGGAAATGCCTCCTCCTTCTACAAAGTTACAATGTACAGTCTGATCACTGGGGGAGGGGAGACTGTAACTTTGTAGGAGGAGGAGGCATTTCCTCAGTCTCCTCCCCCAGTGATCAGACTGCACATTGTAACTTTGTAGAAGGAGGAAGAGGCATTTCCTCAATGTACAGTCTGATCACTGGGGGGAGGGAAGACTGAGGAAATGCTTCCTCCTCCTACAAAGTTACAATGTACAGTCTGCTCACTGGGGGAGGGAGACTGAGGAAATGCCTTCCTCCTCCTACAAAGTTACAATGTACAGTCTGATCACAAATGCCGTTACAATGCACGGTCTGATCACTGGGGGAGGAGATTGAGGAATTGCTTCCTCCTCCTCCTTCTACAAAGTTACAATGTACAGTCTGATCACTGGGGGAGGAGACTGAGGAATTGCTTCCTCCTCCTCCTACAAAGTTACAATGTACAGTCTGATCACTGGGGGAGGGGACTGAGGAAATGACTCCTCCTCCTCCTACAAAGTTACAATGTACAGTCTGATCACTGGGGGGGGGGGGGAGACTGAGGAAACGCTCCCTCCTGCCTGCAGAAGACTGATGACATCATCTCAGCCCAGGCACAGTCACTGATTGGAGGTGTACGGTTTGTGATCCCGCTGCCACGCCCGGTGTGGAATGTGTCCCTGCAGCCTGGCGGTGTCACAGACAGGTCCTCTTGCATGTACGGAGCGTGTGCCGTGTATCCTGGCTGCGTCATCGTTTCTTGACTCGGCCTGAACTCTCTTCCCGACAAGTGCTGGGCGTCTCCCCAGCTGGATTCTGGGGTCTTGGCAGTGCCTGTGTTTTCCTTCGCTGGCCCCGAACCTCCGATGTTCACTCCGATATAAAAAGGAGAAAATTAAAGAAAAAAACCCCAAAAGCCGCCATCAGCCGATGTTTGTGCAGATAAGATCAGAATGTGGCTGGCTGGGCTCCCTCTACCTGTTTACAGCGGCCTCAGCCGGCCTGGCGGAGCTCATTGTTTGTGGCTGAGGGCCGCTTCCATCCACCCGGGGCGCGGCGGGCTGAGGGCGGGGACTGCGGCTCGCAGGGGATTGTATTGGAACGGCAATAAAAGGTATATGAGCCGTATATGGAGGGAACCGAATCTCCTGTCGTCTGTAACGGCCATTCATAATGGGGAGATTCCCTGCAGTAGTTGTCTCTGCCCCTCCCACAATGGGGAGATTCCCTGCAGTAGTTGTCTCTGCCCCTCCCACAATGGGGAGATTCCCTGCAGTAGTTGTCTCTGCCCCTCCCACAATGGGGAGATTCCCTGCAGTAGTTGTCTCTGCCCCTCCCACTATGGGGAGATTCCCTGCAGTAGTTGTCTCTGCCCCTCCCACAATGGGGAGATTTCCCTGCAGTAGTTGTCACTGCCCCTCCCACTATGGGGAGATTCCCTGCAGTAGTTGTCTCTGCCCCTCCCACAATGGGGAGATTTCCCTGCAGTAGTTGTCTCTGCCCCTCCCACTATGGGGAGATTTCCCTGCAGTAGTTTGTGTCTCTGCCCCTCCCACAATGGGGAGATTTCCCTGCAGTAGTTGTCTCTGCCCCTCCCACTATGGGGAGATTTCCCTGCAGTAGTTGTCTCTGCCCTTCCCATAATAGGGAGATTCCCTGCAGTAGTTGTCTCTGCCCCTCCCACAATGGGGAGATTTCCCCGCAGTAGTTGTCTCTGCCCCTCCCACAATGGGGAGATTTCCTGCAGTAGTTTGTGTCTCTGCCCCTCCCACAATGGGGAGATTTCCCTGCAGTAGTTTGTGTCTCTGCCCCTCCCACAATGGGGAGATTTCCCTGCAGTAGTTTGTGTCTCTGCCCCTCCCACAATGGGGAGATTTCCCCCAGTAGGTTGTGTCTCTGCCCCTCCCACAATGGGGAGATTCCCTGCAGTAGTTGTCTCTGCCCCTCCCACAATGGGGAGATTTCCCTGCAGTAGTTGTCACTGCCCCTCCCACTATGGGGAGATTCCCTGCAGTAGTTGTCTCTGCCCCTCCCACAATGGGGAGATTTCCCTGCAGTAGTTGTCTCTGCCCCTCCCACTATGGGGAGATTTCCCTGCAGTAGTTTGTGTCTCTGCCCCTCCCACAATGGGGAGATTTCCCTGCAGTAGTTGTCTCTGCCCTTCCCATAATAGGGAGATTCCCTGCAGTAGTTGTCTCTGCCCCTCCCACAATGGGGAGATTTCCCCGCAGTAGTTGTCTCTGCCCCTCCCACAATGGGGAGATTTCCCCGCAGTAGTTGTCTCTGCCCCTCCCACAATGGGGAGATTTCCTGCAGTAGTTTGTGTCTCTGCCCCTCCCACAATGGGGAGATTTCCCTGCAGTAGTTTGTGTCTCTGCCCCTCCCACAATGGGGAGATTTCCCTGCAGTAGTTTGTGTCTCTGCCCCTCCCACAATGGGGAGATTTCCCCCAGTAGGTTGTGTCTCTGCCCCTCCCACAATAGGGAGATTCCCTGCAGTAGGTGTGTCTCTGCCCCTCCCATAATGGGGAGATTTTCCCCAGTAGGTTGTTTGCCCCTCCCACAATGGGGAGATTTCCCCCACTAGGTTGTGTCTCTGACCCTCCCATAATGGGGAGATTTTCCCCAGTAGGTTGTTTGCCCCTCCCACAATGGGGAGATTTCCCCCAGTAGGTTGTGTCTCTGCCTCTCCCACAACGGGAGATTTCTTGCTATAGTTGTTTCTGCCCCTCCCACAAGGCCAGCAGTTGTTATTATACAGCATAGTCTGTGGGGGGGGGGGGGGGGGTACCATCATTGTTTTCTGACCACTCGGTGAGCTCCTCCCATCTCATACATGTTTCACAGGTTTGGCAGCTGCAGATCTGCAGGAGGTTTGTTGAGTAACGTGTATTGATCTCCTCTGGTGCTCTTTGTCTTCATTTTTCGGTTGGATTTGACAGATTTCTCATCTATATAGACACAATTGGGTTTTAGGGCCGGCGCTTGGACTCGGGGATGGGTTTAGGGCCGGGGGCTTGGACCAAGGGTTAGGTTTAGGGCCGGGGCTTGGACCAAGGGTTGGGTTTAGGGCCGGGGCTTGGACCAAGGGTTGGGTTTAGGGCCGGGGCTTGGACCAAGGGTCGGGTTTTTTAGGGCCGGGGCTTGGACCAAGGGTCGGGTTTTAGGGCCGGGGCTTGGACCAAGGGGGGTTTTGGACCCAAGGGTCGGGTTTTTAGGGCCGGGGCTTGGACCAAGGGTCGGGTTTTAGGGCCGGGGCTTGGACCAAGGGGTCGGGTTTTTAGGGCCGGGGCTTGGACCAAGGGTTGGGTTTTAGGGCCGGGGCTTGGACCAAGGGTCGGGTTTTAGGGCCGGGGCTTGGACCAGGGCCGGGGCTTCGGGTTTAGGACCTGGGGCTTGGACCAAGGGTTCGGGTTTTAGGGCCGGGGCTTGGACCAAGGGTTCGGGTTTAGTGCCGGGGCTTGGCTTGGACCAAGGGTTGGGTTTAGGTGCCGGGGCTTGGACCAAGGGTTGGGTTTTAGGGCCGGGGCTTGGACCAAGGGTCGGGTTTTAGGGCCGGGGCTTGGACCAAGGGTCGGGTTTTAGGGCCGGGGCTTGGACCAAGGGTCGGGTTTTAGGGCCGGGGCTTGGACCAAGGGTCGGGTTTTAGGGCCGGGGCTTGGACCAAGGGTCGGGTTTTAGGGGGCCGGGGCTTGGACCAAGGGTCGGGTTTTAGGGCCGGGGCTTGGACCAAGGGTCGGGTTTTAGGGCCGGGGCTTGGACCAAGGGTCGGGTTTTAGGGCCGGGGCTTGGAC